CCGGCCTGCGGCCGGCCTGGCGTGTGGAGCCGTAGTAAACAAAGGCGTCCGGCTGTGCTGGGCGGCGCGGCCCGGCCCGGCCCCCGGGGCCCGCCAGAGGAGGGGCTCCGCGCTCTTTGTTTGAACTGGAACAGCAACAAGTTGTAAAGGACGGGAGCGGGGGCCTTCAGCCATTTAAATTTGAAAACAAAACGGGTAAAAAAAAATACCAAAAACCAAACCAACTCGAAAACCTAACCCGAGGACAGAGTAGTTCAGCCAGTGGTTATCCACAGCTTGACCCTGGGATAGGCTTTGGCATTTGGACCTGCTAAGGGATTCTTTCTTGTTTGTCAGGGAAACTGAGTATTGAGCCACATATTGGTGTCCAAAGCACTGTTCCCTGTGGAGTGTTTTGTTGTTGTGCCCAATCCCTTCCCTCCCAGTCCTGCATGGAGGATTTCCTTTGGCTTTTGGCATGAATCCCCTGTGGAGAACCCCCTCTGTCCTATGTGCAATGACTGCCCAGCCCCTTGCTGCAGAAGCAGACGGTCTGCCCCTGGAGACACGTGAGCAGCTCACAATGTGCTGTGGTTTGGAAGGGACAGTCTCTGAGGCATGGAAAACTGGGCTGTCGTTTATCTTGCTGTGAAACTAATCCCTGACTTGGAAAGCCCATTCCAGCTTGTCTCAAGCATTTGGTCAAAACCAACTTTCCAGAGTGGTGTCTTGAATCAGATTTAGAATACCACAAAGTTAGTCACACCAGTGTGGTCTTCTGAAGTCCTGAGAGAGAGCAAGGTTGGTTTTCAAGAAGCTGTGCCTGTTTTCAGAGCCTACAAAACATTTATCTGTGAACCTGTGAAAAGAAAATGTGTGTGCCCTTTCATTGTAAGTTAGGAAAGGCTTTTAGCATTGGAATGGTGCATCCAGTTAGCTCGAGAGCTGCCTTCTCATGGTTCTTGTGCTCTGTGAGCCTCTCCAGCAGTTCAGGTATGGCCCCCATTCTGCTGCTGCAGCAGCAAGGCTGAGTAGACACAAAGGCTGCTGGTTTATGTACATCCCTGGCTGAGAGAGAAACTGAGCAGGCAATTGCTGTTGAGGCTGACATCACTGAGTTGTCATTGGATTCAGCTGCACGCATTGTCTAACCCCATCTCACACTGTGAACCCTGGAGAGTCACTGTTATCTCTTCTCTGGGCTTCTGGAGATAGATGGTATTTATTCTGTGGTTGTTGGCTATACAAAAGATTTTTGGGTATGCATCTAGTAAGAATAAGAAAATTGGCCGCACCTATGCTTGCTTTTGGCATGAACACCACTTTCAGAGTTTCATTTCCTATTAATATGTTAAACAGAAATCAGTAATTTAAATCCTGGCTGTTTCATCCTTAGAACAGTGCTAGAGCAACACCACAGCATTCCCTAGAACTCCATGCCTTTCATCTCCTTAAGATGCTGAATTTCTTGTAAGAAGACTTGAGCAATGCTCTGTGTTCCTAGGTAGCAGAGCCTGCTACAGGTTGATCTAGATTGCAAGGGCTCTGCAGAATTACAGAGATGAGACCCATGCATGTTTTCTTGAGTACTGTTGCCTACTTGATTGAGGCTATGTAGCTTCTGGCAAATGCCCTCATTTTATTTTTTTCACCTTGCCCCTGGAAAACAAAGGCAGAGCCAAGCCATGCTTTCTGCAAGAGAAGCTAGTACCTGCCACCTCCTCCTTGGTTTGAAGCAAGCGTGCCTTTGCTATGGAATCCATGAACTGCTGCGGTAGCCCAGCCTGTGGCGGAGCTTCAAGAGCGTGCCCTGAGGTTATGGGGAACAGAGCTGAGCTTAGGAGACCTGCTGGTTGGTTGGCTGGGATGTGCTTCCCACAGTGCGCATGTCCAGGCTGTGGCAACAAGTGCTTGGGCTCTGCTTCAGGTCCTGACTGCATTTGGGTTTCCTTGCCTTGAGGAGGGGCTTTGACCTGTGGTGAATGGAGAGTGTATTTCATGACATGAGGAGCTGTTAGATGGGATGTGGGTACACAAGCAGGGATGGCGGTGGCAGCAGCATAAAGCTGCCCCAGAGTAGCACAGGGTTACACAGGGTGGGGTGGATGACACTGTAGATCAGTATCACACCCCTTCAGTTTGGTGGGCTCCAATGAGACACTGGAATGCTATAGCTTTTTTCCGAATAAAATAACTCTTTTTAAGCGGGCTGCAGCATTGAGGGGACTGCTTTTATCGTATTTCTTCTTCATGGAGATTAAGATCACTTCACAGGGGATAAAATTGTCTCTTTAAGAGCCAAGGAGTGGTAGCCTTGAACAGTTCTGGGCTAAGATCCAAGCAGAGCCACTGACTTGCTGTATGACCTCAGACGAGTCTCTTGACCTCCTTGTGCTTCAGTCAACCCATCTGGAAAGCTCAGTTTAAAAAAAGCTGAGCCTCAATGAGAACCAGATGCTGAATCAGAGCTGAGCTTTCTTGAGTAAATAAGTGCATTACAAACAACAACAAAGTCCCTTTCCAACACATCAGGAATCCTGCAGTTGATTTAGATATGCTGACCGTGCTCAAAAAGGCTCTGCAGATCTAGCTATAGAAAACTTTGTTTCTCTAAATTCCCCAGTTGGTTCAGCAAGTAAGTCTTACCATCACTGCAACAGGGTTCAGCAGCCCATGGAACACAAATGCCTGCATCCACACTGGCTGTGGGCAGACAGCTAGGCGTGTACCTGTTTGCCTCAATCTAATGACACTGAAAATGTCCAGGAGGAAATGTTATTTTCCTTTGAAAGTGAAACGTGTTATGTTTTGCATACTTTTTCCTCTCTGTCTCTCATGAGAGTTATCAAGGCCTCCTCTGAGACACTTCTTCTTATGCAACGGGGAGCCTTCATTGCTTGTCGGAAATGTATCGGTGTGAGAGAATGGGTGCACAGTACTACATGTGTGTCATTTATCCCAAACTCCATCAGGCTTCTTTCATTATTAAGGACATTCAGGGCATTTTTAACAGGTGCTTTTTTTACACTGGAATTGTTTGCAGGAATCTGTTCCTTATGATGACCTTATATTTTAGGGAAAATGTTCAGAAAAGGTTCCTAATAGTAATGCAGAAACTCAGACTGTCCTGCAGCTCAGCCAGTAGCACCAGCAGCTCCAGACATCACTTGTGCCTACAGTCCCTTTGAGACCTGGGGTACGTGTTTTTGTTCCTCTGTTTCCTGAGTAGATCAGTGCATTTCAGCTTCCCTGCTGGCTGGTCCTTGCTGCTGCTATGCACAGCAGTGGGTCACCTCTTCAGCTCTGCTTTCTGTGCATTGCCCATTGGTGTAGGACTTGAAACTCCAGCTGAGGATTCACAAGCATGGGGAAGGAGAGACTCTCCTGAAGTGAGTAACCCTAGTTTAAAGGGCAGGGAGTAGGGTGGGTGTGAGTTTGGGAAAACTGAGATGTAAAACAAGGTTCTTTCTGGGCTATGGAACCGGAATCCTAGGCTTGAGGAAAGGAGGGGGCCATTCTTATGGTCAGTGGAGTCAGAAATTTGATATGAGGAAATGGAGACAGTTTTTTGCTTAATGTTATTAGATTTTCTTTTTTTTTTTTTTAATTCTTTTAATTTTGACAAATGACAATGAAGGAAGAGGTGGGCTTGGAAGTGTAAGTACCCCATGCATACAAATGACACAACAACCTGCTGCCCCTTGCCTAGCACCTGTTTTGAAATCCTGCTGCCCATGGAGCTGCTTACTTGACATGTAGGTTAACAGAAACTTGCTGGACCATTTCACATCTAATCTGAAATGGTATTCTTTGGTATGTTAAGAAACTGAGAACAAGAACATAATTATGCCATTGTATAAATTCATGTTGCTACCATATCTTGAATGTTACATGAAGTTCTGGTTTTCTTCATCCAAAAATGATGCAGCAGAACTGGAACAGGTTCAGAGAAGGGCTAGACGGACAATAGAACTTCCATATGAAAAAATGGAAAGGCTAGGACTGCTAAGCCTAAAAGTAAATGAGGTCATTCTTCATGCAACAGGTGAAAGCTGTGGAGCTCCTTGTCAAGGCATATTGTGCATCCCAGTGCTTTATCTGGGTTCAAGGGGAATTGAGACAAGTTTATGGCCATTGAAACAGACATTAAATAAACAGAAACCAGATCTGACTCAGGAAGTCCTAAGCTCAAACTAGTTAGATGCTGAAAGAGAGCACTAGTGGAAGATACTGCATGTACTTGCCCTTACCTTTTCCTCAGACAGCCATGTAAGGCTGCTGCTGGAGGCTGGGCTATACAAACTCTTGATGCAAGTCACATGCAATCGTTGTGTATCAGTTTAATGAAAACCACAAAACTTCTATATCAACCTAATCTAGCCTTGTCTATGCTTTCAGCTGACAGAAGATTTAAATATATCACATGTATGTTCCTGCTTAAAATAGGGGATAATGTTAAAAAGCAAAACTTCCTGCTTAGCTCTGGTAGAGAAAGAGGGCAGAGCATAAGGGAGCTGGGTGGCAGGAGAGCCGTGCAAGCTCTGTGCAATGGTGTGCCATGAATCCTGCCGGACATGGGACTGTTGTGAGGCTGTGGGGTCACAACCTCAAAAGACCGAGACTGCCCACAATAAAGAGCATAAAACAGTTCTTTGAGGCAGTGCAGGTGAATTGTTCTGCAGTATTTCTAACATCAGTGTTCAGTGCTGCTGTCTCTCCTGTACAACCCCTTCAGTCTTCACAGGTTCTTCTGCATTTTCTCAGCTCTGGCAGCATTGTGACAGCAGTAACATGCTTTCTGCTTGTAGCAGTGTGACAGCTGAGAAATTATTTTTCAATTAAGAAATAATTGTGGTAATACCCCACTTATCTTTTATTGTGGGAGAGTAGAAAATGCAGGTTATAACTTGACTGAGATCATGCAAGGATTGCTGATAGGAACCTAGTTGGTCTGCCTCCAGTCCTCCACCTAGGTTGGTTGATCTTTTTAAGATAGTGCCATTTCTGAGGGGGATGATGAGATGTTTGAACTGATTATTTACAGTGACGAGTGTACATGTTTGTATTTTACCCAACTGAATTTTATGGTGGAAAGGCAGGAAAGCAAGTGCCCAAATGCAGAGTTCTCCTTTGTTTCAAGCCACTGAGGAGGAGTGTCCTGCCAGTCTCCGTTTGGATGTTGCTTTGTTTGTTTGTTTGTTTCTTTCTTTCTCCTCAGTAGCTGCCTCGCCAATTGAAAAGAAATATCTCCGAGGACCAGACCACGGCAGAAAAAATAGCCATCCAAAAATAAGCAGCGAGGCAACTCCTGTTAGCCCCAGCCGGGTTTTTCGTGATGGGAGGCAGAGCTGAGGGGCTGTTGCAATGGGGCTGGAGCCCCGAGGGCCAGCGGAGCCGGCGGGCGGGCGAGGAGGAGCGGGCGGTGCGTGCGAGGGCCCGGCCGGGCGCTGTTTGCGCTCGGCGGCCGTGTTTATATCGCTCGCTAAATTTAGCCTGTGACTCATCG